GGGGGCGGGGCCCGGATGCGCGGAGCGGAGCGGACTGCGCAGGCGCTTTACTCCCGGAGGCGGAGGTGGCCGCGAGGAGGGGGCGGGGCCCGGATGCGCGGAGCGGAGCGGACTGCGCAGGCGCTTTACTCCCGGAGGCGGAGGTGGAGGCGACGGCTCAGGAGTAAAGATGGAGGATTATCAGGGTGCCGAGGAGGTAACCGACCGTCTGGCGGCGGCGGCGGCGGGAGGGTGGAGCCGGGACGCTGGGCGCGGGTGAGCGACCTCACTCAGGGTGCAGGGACTTCCCGCTAGTCCTGGGAGCTGGCTGCCCGCCGGGCGTCGCCCTCCTCGGGACCGCCGGCCGCGCCCACCGCGACGGCTTCGGGTCTCGCGAGCCGCGCCCCCAGCGGGCTGGTGGGGGAAGGTGGCCGGCGGCGGCCGCAGGGTGACCTCACTTAGTCCGCGACGCATGGCCCTCGGCCTTACGTCCCGGTGTGTGCGCTCCGACTCCGGACGGTGGCGGGGGACAGTGACAGCGTTCGGACGGCGTCGCCTGGTGCCTTTGTCTTCGTGCGCACCTCGCACCTCGCGGCCACTCGCCGCCCCCGCGGCCAGCTCGCTCTCACTTCGTTTCCGGTGGACTCTGAAGGGTCAGTACGATGTCTCAGGCTCAGCGAAGAAACGGGGCGAAGCGCAGTCACAGGCAAGCAGACCTCCCTCGGAGCTTTCCTTCAGGCCCCCTCGCTGGTGGACCTAGGGGCCGAGAGGCTCCTTGTCTCCTCGGGCCGTCCTTCCTGTCACTCAGAGCGCTGGGTATTGTCAGCCTGTCAGCCGACAGGTACACCTGGCAAGGCCCCGTTTTACCCCGGTTGAGCCTTAGTATAAGCGGGGACGTTTTGAGGAAAACGAGAATTGTAAGGCCTCAGGACTGCTCTGGAGTTCAGCTTGATGCGCCTGTCAAGGTGGACGTTTGGCTGCCCACAGCAACCCACTGACCAGAAGGCGTTGTTTCCCGTAAACTAGTCGCTGATGTAATAGTGGGAAGTGATGTGTATTACAGGAGCATTGAGTACCGCTTTTAGAAAAGAGGTGATCGTCTGAGGGAAGGCCCTTAATTCCTCAATCTGCCTAAGGCATCTTACTGCTAACCAGAAGGTTGGCGGTTCAAACCCACCAGCTGCTCCACGGAAGGAAGACTGGGCAACCTACTTCTATAGAGATACTGCCTCAGAAACCGACGGAGGTCACTATGCGTTGGAATTGACTCAATGGCAGTGATTTTGGCTTTTTTTTTTTTTCTTTTTTGCCTTCTCCTGCAGTGCAGTTACCAGTGAGTTGGCGCTGTGACTTCATTCTTCCAGCTCTTAGGTGCCTGTCTGTAGAGTGAAGGGCTGAACAAAGTAGTCTTTTTCAGGATGTCTGAATAGGCCGGCCATGTACACACGGTCCATGCCCAACCTACCAGCCTGTGACCTAAGCCTTCCCTGTATCCTTCCACTTCTTGGAGAGACCTGGGCCTCTGAACTCTCCTGCCAACTTCATCTTTCCTGAGAAGCCGGAACTGCCAGGTTCTGTACAACTGCTGTCCTTCCCACTGTTGTGGTTGCCGTTGTTAAGTGCCACCCAGTCAGTTCCAACTCATAGCAACCCTGTGTATACCAGAAGGAAACACTGCCCGGTCCGGCACTGTTCTCACAGTTGTTGCTGTGTTTGAGCCCATTGTTGGAGCTTCCCACTAAAGGTCACTAGAACGTCCCTCAGCCTTTCTCATACCTTGTTGCTGTTGTTAGTCACTGTCAAGGCACATGCAACTCCTGGTGACCCCAGGTGTGGAGAGTAGAACTGCTAGCACCAGGGGGGTTTCAAGGTGGTGACCTTTCAGAAGCTGATCACCAGACCTGTCTTCCCAGCACCTCTGAGTGGCTTCGAGCCACCAACCATTGGGCTCATAGTTCAGGTTTTAACCATTTGTGGCACGCATAAGAAAAGCTATGCAGGGACTTTGCTTTTTGGTTTCGGATCCCCATACTCACCCTTAAGGAGCCAGGAGTGATTGCATCTCTAAGACATCACAGCATGCATCTCCTTTCTGTGGTGTGGTGGCTTTGTGTGACCACATATGATACTGCAAATGAGATGACTCCAGGGGGTCAGTCCTGCTCCCTGTGAGAAGGGGTGTCCCCGTAGCATCCCAAAGAGGCTCTCTCCTCGGGGAACTCCTGGAAGTAACAGTGCCTGCAGCAGTGCATGGCAGGCAGAGAGGCAGAGTCACTGGCTTGATTCTCTGGGATACACATCAGCCACGCATCGGCCGAGTGCCCCAGGTGCTCCGTCCCCCTGTGCCATGCTGGGTTCCGTTACTGCACCCAGCCACAACCTCCAAACGCTTTTCCCACGTAAAGAAGCATCTTGGCAGGGAAGTGGACAGCGATGTTATTTTCAGGATAACCTTGTACCCGTTCACACTGACTGTATGTAAAAAAAGAACAGCATTTATAAACTTGGCATAGCTCACCACTGGCAGTTCCCTCACAGGTCACCTGACATACCGACCAAGACCTGCAGGCCCGAAGTAGGCTGTATAACTATAACAGCACTGAGGCCGAGAAAAATCATCAGGAAGTAGTGTGACCATCGTAAACTCTACCACTAAGAGCAGTGACTAAGGAAAATGTCAGGCTCAAGGTCTGCTGATCACTTTCTGTCAGGGAGCATGAATCTCGGCTTTAGGAGGATTGCTGGAGCGGCTCCTGCTCACTGTTACAAAGTCAGGAAACTCGCAGTTCCACTGAATCTTCCCAGCAGCCACTGGAAACGCATGGAGATTCTGTTCTAGTTGAACGTGAGGCCAGTCTTCTGGAGTGTGGCATGATTAAAATGCAAACAAACCAAACCCCTCAACTCTCACCGTGTAGTCTATCCCCTAGCCAGCCCCCCAGCCCTGTCCTTCAGAGGGCCCCTCGTGCTTCCGCGTTTCCCTGGGATATGTGTATCCGTCAAAGGGGCAGTCTGTCAGATGACACCCTCGTTTCTGAATTAGGGTCGCTGCCTAACATCACATCGATCAGTACCGTAGAAACAGATCTTTTAAACACATCAAATTTAACTGAGTTGTTTTGTCCACAGACCACGTTTGTTGTTGATGAAGTGAGCAACATTGTAAAAGAGGTAAGAGAAATGCTGTGTGGCAAACGTTTCATTACTGGCTTATGTGAGGGAACAGTATGTTTAAATGCTGTCTTGGAACTGTTTCAACCAAGTATGTGTTTTGGCGTTTCAGATAACAGTATTTACTGCATTGAGCTATCTGGATACACATTACTCCCATATTATGTAAATTATATATATTTAATCCAGACAGGAAGTTTTATATATGCAGCATTATTACTGAATGGTACTAAAGCTTGATTCTGTAACCTTGTAGCACAAAGATTGCTGGTGTAGAACTAAATATTTCTAGCATTTAAAGAAGAAAGAATGAATATAAAAAAAAAAAAAAACAGGTACAGGCACTCAGGAGCTGATAACTCCGTTTGGGGCTTAGTTCTTTCTTTTTCTCATATCCTAGCTACTCTCCATGTTACTGGACACGGGTACTTCTGGTAGAGGATAGAAGACAAAAAGGGACAGTAGGTCTTCAGTTATTCATTCAACAAATGGCCATTGAGGGACCCACAGTGGTCTGACTATGGTGGACACAGCAGACAAACTCCTGGCCCTCGAGGAGCTCACAGTGTGGCCACAGGGGCAGCCAGCAGAAATCACAGCAGACAGTGTGTGGTAGGGGCTACAGTGCCTGGCGCTGCTCAAAACAGTATAGGGGGTTTGATCCCCAGATGAGTTCAGGAACTGTTCAGAGCAGAGTCTACACAATGAGTAGTAGCGTTAACTCAGGGACCTCTGGTGTTGGCATAGTTAAGGCATTTGGCTGCTAACAAAAAGGTTGGGTTCAAATCCACCAGCCTCTCTGCAGAAGAAAGATGAGGCAGTCTGCTTCCGTAAAGATTTATAGCCTTGGAAACCCAGTGGAGGTCATTATGAGTCAGAATCAACTCGATGGCAGTGAGTTTGGTTTTGGTTTTTGGAGGGTTAACTCAGCACAAACAGGCCAGGCTGTGGACAGCATGTGCAAAGGCCCCGTGGTAGGAGGGCACATGGTGTATTTGAGGATGGAAAGGAGACTGACGGCTGCAGTGCAGAGAGCTAGGGGAGCCAGGGGCAAGAAGAAAGCCAGAATGGCGTCCCAGCCAGCCTACCTTCAGTGCACGAGTGGGCGTGGATGGAGGCCGTCCGCTGCAACATTAGATGGCCTGAGTGCAGTGCACTATGCGGCTCCTGGTGATTTAGAGAAGACTCCAGGCAAATCGTCGTTAATGCGACTTTCTGAGTCAGTGCCGAGTGGTCAGGACCACAGCCTGGTTTTGTGAACAGCGTCTGAAAGCAAAACGCTTGTTTTACCATCAGTTGTCATTGGGCTCAGCTGGTTGCTTTGCAGGCTCTGCTTTTTATTGTTCTTCAAAGTGTTTGACACGGAACACGATGGAGCAGGGAGATGAGGGAATAAACTAGTGCTGAGCAGCAGGGTCTGTGAGTTAGAAAGGCCAATGGGGCCGCCTGGTTTTCTGCAGAGTGTTTGACCCGGTTACCTGGCAGCAGGTACAATGGGAAAGACCACGTTGCAAATTGCCCCTGGAAGTGTGAAGTAGCCACCCAGAGGGACTGTGACCACCAGCCTGCAAAGGCTTTTTGTCCCTGGCAGTTGATTAGTTCCAAGGAAGAAGTACTGGGCAGCAGTAAACTGTGAAGGTCCACAGTTGGAGACCACTTCCTGTCCCTGGACAACAGGGAATTTCAAAGTGTGCTTGTCTGGCAGGTGCTGGGGCTCCAGGGTTAGTGTCCAAAGCAAAGCTGTGGAGACATCCAGTAAGGTTCTGTGTCTCACCTTTTTCTGGTTATTTGGGTGAAAGTTTATGGAGCAAATCCGTTTTCCACTCCACGGTTGATACGCACTTTGTTCCTGACGCTGACTGTGTTTGGCCACTTTTATAGTTCTGTATCAGCATCTGCTCTGCTCTCTGATGACGTCCAGCTCTAGGATGAACGTGGTCTCTCAGCCTGGGGCCCACCACTGGCCCCAGGTTACGCCCTGGGCCGAGGATGATGGGAAGAGCCAGGAGCTTGGAGAATGGGGGGGGGGGGGCGAAGCAGGACGCGGTCCTCCCGCACTGGGAGGCCGTCAGGGAAGCGAGCTGTAGCCTTGGCTCCATCAGACACTTTGGCTGACTGTTGAGAAGGGCGGTGCTGACTCCACTCCCGCCCCAGCCCTGCTACCCGGGGTGGTAAAAACCAGCAGGCCAGCCCTGTCCTAAGCAAATCCTCTCAGGCTGGCTGCAGAGGGGGCTAAACGAAGGGGCTGTGAGGAGCAGGGAGCTCTGTTACCACGAGCTCAGCCTTTAGGGCGACCCTGGAAGCTCCAGGGTGAGTAGGAGTGTCTGCAGGGAGAGTCCAGGTGTGACTGGAGGCAGCGTTTCTCCCTCAAGAGCGAGACCCCCTGCATCCATCACCACTTCCTACAACACAGAGCTGACAGTTGCTCGTCTCTGCAGTTCTGAGGGCAGAATTTGGCTTCTTGCGGGATGTTTTTATTTTAAATCATAATTGTCATAGAAGCTGGGTTTCCAGGTCTCTAGTGCAACAGGTTAGAAAGGGCAGAGAAGGAGCCGTGAGGAGCGGCACACAGCATTGTCTGCCGGGAGAGCTGACTGCAGAGCCCGGACGTCAGCCTGAGAGCTGAGGCTGAGCAGGGCCAGGCGGCAGCCACGTGTGCTCTTGGGGCACCTGGAAGGCCCCAAACACAGCACAGAACAGACGGGGTTTAGGTGAAAGAAACTGAGTCATCATAAACTTAACAGACACTTTGGAGTCTGCCAGGCTGCTCTTCGGTGATCTGGGTAAATGCCCTTCCCTGGTAATGGCATTCCCAGAAAATGCTGGTGAAGGAAGGGGTTTTGAACACGTGATTATCTGAAGAGGTTTGTACACTGCTGGCTGCTCAAGTAACCAGTAGCACACAGATCTAACAGTAGAGAAAGGGGTAGGCAGAGTAACAGGGTCTTTGGGCCTCAGTAGGAAAATGCTGCTTCAGTCCAACTCAATCCAGTTATTTGGTCAAATGTTTAAAAAATTTGAAGACTACATTATGAATTTTTTTCCAGCGCTGTTAAATGAGATATATTTGCACGGGTATCTTCATGATCAAAAAAAGCGGCTCTTTTATTTTTGATTTCGTCACTTAGGATGATCCATCTCACTCACTAACCGGAAGGCACCTGGGGCATTGTTAACTCTGACCCCTCTGCTTTGTTTTCTAGGCTATCGAGAGTGCGATTGGTGGGAACGCTTACCAACACAGCAAGGTCAACCAGTGGACCACGAATGTCGTGGAGCAGACTCTGAGTCAGCTCACCAAGCTGGGAAAGCCATTTAAATACATTGGTAATGGGCTGGTTTCTCAGACACGGGTGGGAGTTCTTTTCACACTAACCAGAGGCGTGGCTGAGCCAGACGAGAGCTGAGGTGGCAATCAGAAGCCCTGGTGGCACAGTGGATAAGTGCTCTGCTGCTAATTGAAGCCTGGCAGTTGAAATCCACCAGCTGCTCCGCAGGGGAAAGCCGTAGCACTGTGCTGCCATGAAGGTTCCCCCAAAAACCAATCCCACTGCCATCGAGTCGACTACAACTCAGACCCTGTAAGAGTAGAACTGCCCCAAGGGTTTCCAAAGCTATAAATCTTTGCAGAAGCCAACTGCCTTATCTTTGTCCCATGCAGTGGCTGATGGGTTCAAACCACCGACTTTTCAGTTAGCAGCCCAGTGCTTTAACCACTGTGCCTTGGAAATGCTATGAATTGGAATCGACTGGCAGCGGGGGGATCATGGCCATGCAGTGTGCACCTCAGAGCCTCCCTAAGAGGAGTAGTCAGTCGTGTTAGGTTTTCGTCCACTCGTCCTGTTTAATGGCTGGCACCACTGAAGAGCACCTGCCAGGCAGGTCACAGGATTCCCAATCAGGAAAGGGGACCGCAACAGTGGGCACAGTGGCACAAGGCAACCTTCCTGTCGTGTGGCTTTCATCATGAATGTCACATGTGACCTGGTGCATATGCTACAGGTGGGCGGAGGGATACTTGTGTCGCCAGGTTGAATGAGCACTCTAACGGGAGTCCATTTTGATTGCAGTGACCTGTGTCATCATGCAGAAGAACGGGGCTGGGCTGCACACGGCAAGCTCATGCTTCTGGGACAGCTCCACGGACGGTAAGACTCCACGCGTGCCCGTGCAGGCAGGTCATGATGTTCCCTGAGAGCCAGGAGGTGCCTTCCTGGGCCCTGCTGAGCTGTATCACCTCAGAAAAACAGTTTTACGAGATAAAGTGAAGTCTGGAGAAACTGTCAGAGAAGAGAAAGTCAAATATTTTCCACTAAAACAAGCCATAGAAAAGTGGTTAAGACTGTACCATGTGAAAGGCGTAAAGCTGCAACACCGGGAAGAACAAGGCAGTCCTGTCAAGTTCTGGCCTCACAGGTTTCATTGTGTGCATGAATGTCCATTCCTGTAGAGTCGCCTTTAAAAACTTTTATAAATAAGACCCGCCAGCCTTACTTGTCTACCAGCCAAAGGCAGGTCGCTCAGTATTGTGACTTTATTCTAGCCGTCTGAAGTGTGCCCCCCTCCCGTCCTCAGTGCTGGCCCTCTCTCCACAGGGAGCTGCACCGTGCGGTGGGAGAACAAGACCATGTACTGCATCGTCAGTGCCTTCGGCCTGTCCATTTAGGGCCTGCCCAGCCCCAGCACTGCTGCTGCCCCTGGTGTCGGCGTTCCTGGCCAGTCTTCTACCACCAGCCATGAGTTCACTGAACACCTTTCCTGTTCCTTCTGAAGTGTTTTTTCCTTTTGTGGCATGCTCAAAATGTAGAGAGAAAACTACAGTGACCGCACTGCTGTGGAACTGCACCCCCAAGTCGCTGGACAATCCCCCGGCGGCTCAGAAGCCGTGATGCCATGTGGCTTAACTCGTGAATATTCTTTTCCAAGGTGCTAAAACATCTGCTAGTGTGAAACTTTATTCTCTGAGATGACTGAGAGACACTAATTTTCCACACTTTGTACTTTTGTTAGAATAAATTATTCCAATTCCAACTCTGGTTTCTGTCATAGTTGCCCAGGGTCACTAGCATCCTCTCCATGGTTAGTCCCTAGGACTGGCATTTGTGTCCCAGTCTTCCTCAGTGACACGGTCTGCTCATCTCACACCCAAGCTGGTCTGGAGTCCTTCCTGAGCCATGGTGCGTCTCTGCCCAGTCCTGTCACCCCTGCCTTCAGGTCCCTGGGGAGCAGCGGGGTGGGAGTGGACAGCCATAGCCCTCTGACCCACACACAGTTGGCCCGAGTCTGAAATATGACAACTTTAATCCCATGTCCTTTCCTCCTTCAGTAGCAATCATGAAAAGATACTTGAGAGTTGACAGCTGACAAATGCGTTCATAGTCCTCCAGCTTGTGTCCCCGACAGTCAGGACATGTGCAGAGATTATCTGCCTGATTCGAAGTCACACGTCAAGCGATGGGAGGCCAGCCAACCTCAGGCTCCTCACCTCATCTCAGTGTCCGTGGGCCACACTGAACGTGCTCACGTACACATGTCCGTGTCTCCCTGCTCTTTCTCTAGAACCCTGTTCCTAAAGTGCCTGCATCAAGTGGCCGAGTCAGCCTCCCTCACACACAGCAAGCAAACGGAGCCATGTCGGTAAGGACAGAATATTACAAATACATTACCGTTTACCAGAATGGCAGTCTCAGAAAGCAGCCGCAGTCCTAAAACACTGCCACAAACATTGACTTGCTTTTGCCTGTTGACAGTGATGATGCTGTGACCAGGTGGCCCACGTGCCCTCCTCACAGCTCCATGTTAGACAAGTCCAACTTTTTCAGCTTAATGTTGTGTTTTATTTTACAAATATTTACAGTCTTTTTGTAAAAAGGCAGTTTTCAGTAGCAGAAAATCCCTCTGTGTTTCATAATATGGTATCAATAGTTACCAGTGTATCAAGATAAACCCCAGATCAAGATAAACAGTAACAAAGATGTCACAAACTAAAGCAGCTTCCCTTTGGCCTGGGAAAAACAATAGCATTTTTTTTTTTTCTCCCTCAAAAGTCTAACCTGTAAGGCAACTGGTTTTTAAAACCTTCCTAACAACACACCATCGTACTTCAGGGCCTTGCCCAGACATTGGCAGAAACGGCCCTTTGTATCCTCACTCTATGAGCCACAATGCTTTTCCTTGTGAGAGGCGCTCAGGAAAAGTCTCTGACGACGTTCTAACCTGTCTCCTGCCACTGTCCCTTCAGTAACTAAAGCATGGGCCACTCGAGGCTGGTGACAGTAGTCTCATGCCCTGCCTGTCCAGGGGTGGGGGTGGGGTTTACATCACTAAGTGTCCATGACGGTCTGTAACTGCACGGTGACAACCTAACAAACTCGAGTCTTCTCTAGACCCTCATCTAACCTTTCAGGGGGCCTGAAAAGAGAGAACCGCACTGCTTTACTGCTGTAACGATTTAATTATAAATCAAACACACCTGCTATCCTCATGGCTCATGACGCCGTCCCTAGGAAAACCGCACATACCTGCAGTCGCCTCAGGGGTTCCCCTAGACTGTTGTTATGTGCTGTCGAGTTGGCCCCGACTCATAGCAACCCCTCCTTGGGTTTCCGAGGTGGTATCACTACGGAAGTAGATTGCCCAACCTTCCTTCCGAGGATAAAAAAGGATCCCCAAGATGTCTGTGAGCTACTCCCATGCAAGAACAAGAGCAGCCTTGCGTTGTGTCATTTCAGTTTGCAAAATGTTGATCCCCTCCAAATTTTCTCTTTCTTGCTACTGTCAAAAGCTTCTGGCAGACCTTAGTGTTTTGCCCTAACTGATCATTGCACATATTCTACATGCTAAGTGCTACCTAGTCAATCAGGTTTTTCCATGGAATATATAATGTACATGAAACGCACTAGAGACAGAAAGTGAAGAGACATGAAAGAAACACCTTGCCCCTGTGCAGCTGCTGCTTGTCCCCAACTTAATTAGAAAACTGAACCAATATTCCCAGTCTTCCTTTCACTGACACTATGCTGTGAAGAATCAGTGTTTGAAGATACCAGTCACCGGTTTATAATTACAACGTAGAACAAAAACAGTTTTTAAGAGTTCTTGTGTGTACGGCTAAATGCTGCAGTGTTTCACATTTACTGATGACAGCATTCCAAATCATAAAGGACAGTTATTAATAATGATTAAAACTTACAAACTATATCACACAGTGGAATACATTAATTAGCACAAGTAAGTCTTTCATTAGTCTACGTAAAATTATTTATAGTTAGAGCAGTCCTGAAAGTTGTAAGATTTGAAAACACGTTCTTTTCAATGCTCCAAGGACACAGAATGAGCAAAGTCACCCCGCTGTTGGAAATGGAACCACCGTGCACACATGAATCCTTCGTGAATCCCCTCGTGGTGAGGCAGTTTTAATCCAGTCTTATTTATCAGGTGGTTTTTTTAAGACAAGTGTTGGTGGATTTCATATTAAAGGTGTATTTCCTGAAGTTGAAATTAGAAAGAACAAAGCTGAGGTGTCCGATGAGTCACCTCACACGGACAGTCCTGCGGTCCCAGCACTGCCTCAAGTGGAACCTGGCACATGGCTGTGAATGGTGACTGGGGCAGTGATACACACACGGGGTGCTGACTGCAGGGTGGGGCGGCCACATCCTGTACTGACGTACCTGCCAACAGTATCACTGAGAACGTTTACAACTTGCAACACATGAAGAGTTAAACAGGCGTTGTGCGTGTCCAAGGAGATAGGAAACGTTTACCATCCTTTTCTATTCAGTCTGACAAAACTGAACTGGAGACTTCCCAGGGCCTCTAAGATCCAGAGATTCAGCGACACCAAAGATAGCTCTTTGCGACAGAGCAATTTGTCTGTAACCTGACCACCATGAGAAACGGAGGCAGGGAGGGATGATCTCACAACTAAGAGTTTTCCAGAAGCCATTTAAGATCTTTCACTTTCTTTTCATCTAGTTCCCAAATATGAAATTGAAAAATTTTGGCAATATGGAGTCTGTATTATGTCAGTAGTTGTTTCTTTTTTTAAATAAAGATCCAAGGAGTGGCATTTTCAACAGTGTTGCAGAAACTACTATTTATTGGCAATGTTATCTTCCCCACCCCAAGCACAGGGGCATCGTTCATACTCACGTATGTACAGACACATGTGCACACACATGTACACGCACACACACGGGCCCTGGAAAGACTGCATGGCAGCAATACCGTGCCCACAAGCTGGCGACCTGTAAATATCTCAGCCTTTCCGTGGTAAACGTATCCCGCTTATCAGAACTCCACAAGCCCATGCCTTCTGCTCTGGTGAAGGTCAAGGGCTGGAACCTGCCTCTCCTACCACTCTCCTGACGAGCTGTCACGCAGGTTTTCCACACGGGGCGGTCGGTGCCACGTAGCATCACGTCAGGGGCGTGATCACCCAGAGCCCCACGGCTGGGAGCTAACCACAGCACAGAGCAGTCACCTGGGTTAGAAGAGCAGCGCTTCCAGGAACTCACCGTGAGTCACTAAAAACAAACACATGTTCTTCTTTCTCCTGACAACAGTTGATGGCCCCTGACCACAGAAGGAAGGCCGCCTTCCCTCTGGAGTCTTAAAGGGTGTGGCCGCTTAACCTTTTTATCAGCATATCTCTCCCTAGATAAATTTGGCTAACATTTACATTTGCCTCAGTTTTGGTTTTCCTTTGAAAATATGTAAACAAATCAGGAACAGGAGATCTTGTTCATAAGATGATGTTTGAGAAGCAGGTATGGGGAAGGCTGGGCTGTGGTCACTGCAGGAAACCCCGTGGGCCCGCCACCGCAACTCAGTCGCTGTCTGACTCTTCCTTGTACTTGGCCCGAATGGCCTGGCCGTTCTGCAGAGGCATCTCTTCATAGTCGCTCCTGCCATAAAAGAGACCTGTGATACCACTCTGTCTACGACAGCCCCCAAGTCATTCCTGCTCACAGGGACTTGCGATTCAGGTGAGCTCCTCAGTCTTCCACAGGTACCCAGCCACCCCACAGCATCTGCCCCTCCTCCCCGACCAGGGCCAGACGCCGAAACCAGGCCCCACTGGGTGCTTCCTGCTCAGACAAACACTACAATACCTTGAAAGTAGTATTAGAACGACTGACAGCCCTGCAAACGTGCAAAGCCAAGCTGGACACCCAGCCCATGTGACAGCGACTTACCCATAGATGACATCATCGTCGGAGTCGTTCAGCATGGAGAAGGCAGGGTTGTCCTTCAACTGGGACTCTGAAAACCAACCAAAGCATTTTTATCTCAAGTAATTCATGCCATCAATCTGGGGAACTAAGGTGCTGCCCCAGAGAAAGGGCGGGAGTCAGGGCTGGGTGGACCCCAGCTCCCGCCACTCACCACCTGAGAACCTGAACAAACGCCCTCCTGAGTCTGTCCCATCATCTACAGACAGGGCACCCTGCATCTCGGGGTCGGGGCACAGGGAGCACTTCCCCCATCTCAAGGTTGGGGCACAGGCACTGTGTCCCCCCATTTTGGCATTGGGGTGCAGGGAGAATGTCCTCCCATCTCCGAGTAAGGGTGCAGGGAGCACATCCCCCCATCTTGGTGTTGGGGTATGGGGAGCACGTCCCTTCATCATGAGGTTGGGGCACAGGGAGTGCATCTCCCCATTGCAGGGGTGTGGCATAGGCAGCGTGTCCCCCCATCTTGGTATCAAGATGCAGGGAGCATGTCTCCTCATCACAGGGCTGGGTGCAGGGAGCACCTCTCCCAATCTTGGGGTCAGGGCACAGGGAACACATCCCCGCATCACAGGGGCAGGGTGCAGGAAGCACCTCTCCCCATGTTAGGGTTGGGGTGCAGGGAGCGCGTTCCCATTGTAGGATCAGGGTACAGGGAGCGTGTCCCCTCATCACAGGGTCAGGGTGCAGGGACTACCTCTCCCCATCTCAGGGCTGGGGTGCAGGGAGCGCATCCCTGTTGCAGGGCCAGGGTGCAGGAAGAGTGTCCCCTCACCACAGGGTCAGGGCACAGGTAACACCTCTCCCCATCCTGGGGTCGGGGCACAGGGAGCATGTCCCCCTCATCTCAGGGTTGGGGTGCAGGAAGCATGTCCCACTCGTCACAGGTCCGCATACAAGGAGAGCATCCCCCCGTCTCAGTGTCGGGGTGCAGGGAGCACATCCCCTCATATCACAGGGTCAGGCCCAGGGAACCTCTCTCCCCATCTCACCTGTGCAGCGCTCAGACACCAGGTGACTTACCGTACAGAGCGTTCCTGGATGGAGAATACACAAAGGCCAAAGTGTACAGATAGAAGTTCAACAAGCCATAGAAAGACAAGAATTCAGCTGGTGTTATGAGTCAAGGAACCTCGCATCTGGAACATCACACGTTGGCCACGTCAGCGTCTGGGCGTTCCTCATGCAAATGCCAACCGGGCCATGGGGTTTCTGCAGCCAGACGTTAGGATGTGTCCGGCTGTCTAGCAGAGACAGTCACAGTAATCTCACAAGACCAAAGTAAACAGTGGGTGGACCATGACCTCTCCTGTCAGCAGGAAACAGTCTCCCTCCAGGAACCTCAGCTCCCTGCGATAACATCTGGAGGTGCCTCTCCCCACCCCTGCACCCCGTGGCAGCACTCTGATGGGATCGAGCTCCACAAGGCACAGGACAGTCAGGCCAGGGGCCCCAAACTCTCAAACCCACTGTTCTTAACCTTTTCTGATAAAAACTTAATGTCAGATTCACAAGCACTGAAAACGGAAGACCTGTGCATCAGGGCTAAGGAATGAAGAGGTCCCAAGGATATCCCCCAGGCTTCGCAGGTTTAACCCCCACAATGTCCCCTGGTGGGACCCACCATTGACAGGGAGTGAAGAGCACACAGCCAGCCCCCTGTACATCTGAAAAAAGACAGGGACCCCAGGGAGCGACAGCCTAGCACCACAGCCTCAGGTGCCAGAGGGAAAGGAGGCCTGGGGTTTGGTGGACTCCCATAGACACAGGCTTCCGCTGCAGTTAACCACTCCCACCAGAAACAACTTCTACACACACCTGAGACAGCGGGAGAGAGGCCATGGTGCAAGAGCCAACACCTAGCCAGAAGGCTTGCTCCTCCTCACAGGCAGCTCTGGGCACCCCCCAACTGGACTTGACCGTTCTGTCCAGGACCCACCTGGAGCCCTGACTGGAATCGGGCTCTGCCCCAGAGAACCTGACCTCAGGGGAAAGGGTCTCCCGAACACCACCAAGTCTGAGCTGTCTACCTGCCCTCTCCCCTCTCAGGCTGACCTGGAGGGAACAAGGCGGATCTGCAAACCTCTCAGCACGCCTTCACACTCATCACCATCAAAAAGAGGGCTCCTGGGTCTCTTGGTGGCACAGTGGTTAAACCATTCAGCTGTTAGCCAAAAGTTTGGTGGTTCTAACCCACCAGCCACTCCACTGGACAAAGATGTGGTAGTCTGCTTCCATAAAGGTTGACAGCCTTGGAAGCCCTGTGAGGCGGTTCCACTCCGTCCTGTAGGGTTGCTATAAGTCAGCATCGACTCCATGGCAGTGGGTCTGGGTTTTGGTTGGCATCTCCAAAGTACAGGTCATGAGCGTGGAGCTGCCTCTTAAAATCTGAGTCCTCTCCCCATTGCACGAGAGTGTACTGCCAGGGCCCAAGTCTCCCGAGTCAAAGGATATAGTTCTGGTAATGTGTGGACAGTTCAGCCACAAAGTTGTCTTGTAACACCTGTGCTCCGAACCTTAAATAAAGGATGACGATGCTGGAAGAGGAAGGGGGGCAACGCATCAAGGACACAGAGAAACGGCACTCGCTTCATGTATCGTGATACGCTCACCCTGCGAGTGCATTTCAGTACTACTTATGTGTGGAAACGTTCACACACAGACACAGACCCCCGCCTCTGGTTTCCTGTCTCAGACCGAGGGGCCAGACCCCGCCCAGACCCCCGCCTCTGGTTTCCTGTCTCAGACCGAGGGGCCAGACCCCGCCCAGACCCCCGCCTCTGGTTTCCTGTCTCAGACCGAGGGGCCAGACCCCGCCCAGACCCCCGCCTCTGGTTTCCTGTCTCAGACCGAGGGGCCAGACCCCGCCCAGACCCCCGCCTCTGGTTTCCTGTCTCAGACCGAGGGGCCAGACCCCGGCCAGACCCCCGCCTCTGGTTTCCTGTCTCAGACCGAGGGGCCAGACCCCGGCCAGCGCTGGGACAGTACCCGTTCCCCCGCAGCAGGGCTGGAGCACTTCCTCAGCACACGCCCTTCCCTTCTCCCAGCCCCGATTTTACTTCCCAGACCACCTTCTGCCCCTGATTGCCAGTGCCCGGACTGCAGCCCCTCCTCGGGCCCAGTGAGTCTCACAGCAAAGACAGCAGGACAACTTTGACTCAGGTGCCCACACGTGGCGACAGAACAGAGAACTCTGACAACAGGTGCCTTCACAGACAACACCCTGTCTCTCCTCGCCTGCACAGGTGGCTCCTGACAAGTACCCCAGCTTTCATCCCCAGCCCACCCCCATCTGTTTCCAAGCAGCCAGATGGACTGTTGAATAGAAAACACCCTCCCGAGGTTCCCCATCACCGAGAGCAAAGCCCACTCCACGCAGCTGTGGCCTCAGGGCCCGACCTGCCCTGCAGACGGCTCCCCTCACTCGCTATTCCTCAAACACACAGGACCGGGGTGCCCTGGGATTTCAGGGCTTCTCCTTGTCACTCAACGGGCTCAAGTCAATGTCACCTCCTCTACACCTCCCTGCCCACATCTAAAGGGGCCACGTCCCCTGACCTGGTCAGCACTTGGCTTTACGTCAGTGACAAAGCTTAGGCCATGCATGACTTCATCACTGCCTGCCATCCTCAGAACATAAATGCTGTGGCAGGGAGGCCCCTGTCTTCCTCACAGGTGGAGGCAACCACTGGTATCTGTTTAATAAAAAATGAATCCCCTTGAAAATGGAGGTGAAGAAAGACCCAAAACACAGTAACTTCTAAGACAGACTAGACAGAGGCCTGTGTGAGCAGAGGCTGTGAACAGCAGCTCCACACCTGCAGATGGTGGTCAAGAGAGGGAAGCATGTGTGTGTGTCTGTGGGGGGGGGCTCTGGGAAGTTACCTAGAGACCGTGTGTGGGGGGTGGGGGAGCTGTGAGAAGTCACACAGAGACAGTGTGTGTGAGGCTGTGAGAAGTTATCTAGAGACTGTGTGTGTGTCGGGGGGGGGGCTGCGAGAAGTTACACAGAGATAG